CACACACACACACACACACCCACACACACACACACACACACACACACACACACACACACACACACACACACACATCACGTGCGTGTCTCGCTGAATAATTGGAGTGTTGAGAAATAATTAATGGTATTTTAATCAGTGGAAATCAATTAAGACGTGTTCTAGTTTCTGATCTAGGTAAGAAACAATTATTCCGCAGGCCCCGTTGCATAATTGAACGAACATCATCGGCGAGGTTTCAGAATATTAATTGCAGTTAAAAAAAATAAACTGGTACGAATAACTGCGTTCAGAAATCTTGATGATAATGTAGGTGAGTTATTTTTTTCGCGAACGCGCGAGTTAATTGATTTGTCTCGTCCGATGAGCGGCTGCGAAATTATAAAATCCCGCGTTTGCGCAACGAACGCAGCCTGTCACAGATTGGAGACCTTGTTCTGTAAGGGAAATTTCAAACATACTAATCGCAATTTTCCAATCACGACGCGCAATTGTTGAATGCAGAAATTCGAATTGACGAGTGTACAGATAAAAATTTTCAGCGAACGCTGAACAAGCGAATTCGACGAATTTCCCGGTGAACGCGGAGACAAGTGCGAAACGCGGCAAAAGAGAGGAGAGATCCAAAAGCGTAAGATTTATATTTCACCGTAACCACCTCCTCGATGGATCCTCGATTTTCATCTCACTTGGCGCGATGTATAACGATCAAGCGATAAACGGGGACTTGATAAATGAATTCAGCTCGTTTGCTGAAAGAGTCTCACCGACGTTGGTACACTGGTTTGATAAAATCCTCGAGTATAACGGCGGCCAGGGAATTCACCGTGGCGGAGATGGTGCTGAGTCCAGCGCTGAAGATGCCAGCAATAAAAAGTCCCGGCACACCTGGATACGCGGAGAGCATGTCCATCACGTAAAGCGGCATTAATTGATCGTACGAGTTGATCCTTCCTGTCTGAAGAGGATCGCAGTCGCGATACTGCGCGTATATGGCCAAACCGGCGAGGCACAGGCTCAAGGACATCAGCGAGGACAACGGCCAGCTCCACCAAATGGCAGTTTGCGCGTCTCTCACGTTTCTGAAAGCACGGGCCCGGCATGATTTTGCACGGACGATTATTATTAAAACCGAATATTGGCGGCACGGCGACGGACAAGCGGCGACTTATCGAACGATCGCTACCGGCGGTATGCAGCATGCGAGATGCGTAGCTCAGATAGAGTCCGCGAGGGAATTCCTCCGTCTTTCTGTCGTCGTGCCACGAAGAAGAAGAAGAAGAAGAAGAAGAAGAAGAAGATGAAGAAGAGAATCACGATACGATGATACACGCCATGCGAGATGAGCGCGATATTTTAGAAATTTTACTCGGGAGGGTAATGACAATGAGTTGATTTGTCGAAACGTTAATTTACGACTCCGTGGATGAAACATCGTTCCTCGTTTTAGTTGGTTTTCGTTGTTATTGCGCGACGTATGAAATGGTGTCAGTGGAACGGTTGTTTGAGGATTATGTTCGCACGTCTTCGAATTATGTTTGCACGTTGCTGAACAATTTTAACCTCTTGCGCTGGAACGACGTGCCACGCGCGTCGAGAATTTTTCGTTTCAAAATTGCAATGTTTTCTCAGTTCTAAGTATATTTCAGTATAACCCCAAGCAAAATAAATAATATAAATCACACCGACGAGTTCAAAAAGAAAGCGACGAATTATTGTATGACGGTTTGGTCACTCGTCATGGTCCGCAAGTGGTTTGACACTTGAACTGACCGATGTTTAATAGTTTTTGAAAAACTATAAGTTTCAGTTAGTTATTAAGTTAAGTAATTTTTCAAAATGTAATTTTTTGTAAAAAATTATTAATTGGTCGTTTTGATCTTCTAGTTCCGATATCAGACAAAGATAATTCGACTATCTTCTGATCACCCTATAATTACTATACAATGAAACTATAATGAAACAACTACATCATTATAAAAATAAAAAAAATGAAATAACTATGATACATTTACACACGCACAAGTGTCAGAACGAACTTTAGCAAAATCATCTTCGAAGCGTGAAAGAGCAAAGAATTCTCTTCTTCTTCTTCTTCTTCTTCTTCTTCTTCTATTTTTTATTTATTGTCGCATCGACAGCGAGGTCATTAGCGACGACGGTGCCATTAGATATGTGCGTAGTAGTTTGTGTTTTTGAGATATTCTAATACTCTTTGTATGTCATTTTGAGAAGTCAGGTTTTTATGTTTGCGTTGATTCCGTATTTCTGTCTTTGAATTTCTGTGATGTGGCATTCGTGTATGCAGTATGTGGGTTATTGTTAGTGGATGGTTATCGTAATGAGTACAGGTGGTGTAGTTTTTTTGAGTTTGTGTTCATGTGTCAGCTTGGTATGACCGGTTCTTAGGCGTGAGATAATTATTCCTTCTTTCCTGTTGGTAAGGTTTGATGCTTGACGACGAAAGAATTCACTTTCTAATAAAAGAGAAGAAAAAAGAAAAACTACTTCTACTTTAGCACAAAATTTCAGCTGTACAGAAATTTCTTCGCCAAGTTAAATCAACACCAAGTTTTTCCCCCCAAAAAATAAAACTTGATTGAAGCAACGTTGAAGCAACATAAATTCGCAACACCTCCGTCGGGATGGAAATTTTTCACATTTCAGCGGCACGTCAGCGAAGACGTTTAATTATGGAATGCCGATGGACATGTGTGTAATCCGCGATATCGCGGGGGCCACCGCACGCCACCTCGTGTAGAAAGTCACCGTGTGGCGAGGGATACTCACTTGATGGTTAACATTCTTTGAACTTGAACTTGGTTGGTGCCGTACAAGGAGAGGTAGGTGAAGAAACCGCCAAATGTCAAGCTCCACCAGGTGTGTCGCACCGTTGGGTCCATTGAAATGCTGAATGAATGCACATACCATTGTCAGTATCGATGCCTGGCTGGATTCCTCGTAAAATAAATGTTTCACGTCCGGCACGTTATTTGAAAGTGTGTTAACTGCATCGCGCTCGTCGGGCAATTCGCGATAGAGATTCGCCCAAGAGAAAATCGATTTATCCGGTTGCTAGCTCGCTGTTGTACTCTCGCGTTTGTACGACGTAACGGTTCGCATTATAACGACGATTAAAGAAGCATGCTCTGATTATTTCGACGTTTCGGACAATACGCAGAGCGCGCATATTCGCGCATATCGCAATATTCTGTCGAACAAATTTTACGAGATTTCACAGTTGGCGATTCGGATGGAGATCTTCGTATTTATTTATTTAAGAAATCGCAGTCTCTACAGACGGCGGATGATTTCCCAGGTGTCAGAAAACTGCATGAGAATGGAGTTTGTTTAGAAGTGGTATACGATTATAATCTACATAGGTGCATGTAGATTATAAGAAAAATTAAATTATATTGTTAAAGTCTACGTCGAAGATTAACAAGCGTAACTCGCGCGTATGTACAGGGTGGGCCAGAAATCATTTCCTACTACAATGAATCCGTAGTTGTTTGAAATTTCTTTTTACAAACTTTTAAAACACAATGAGAAGGGCATGAATTAATGAATATTTATTAATTTAATTAATCTTATTAATTTAAAATAAAAATTAACTTAATTATTTTTATTAATTTAAAATAATTTAAAATTGGTTTTTTCTTGTATTTCGCCGTTTTATTGAAAAAAAAAAAATAGGTGGCAAGAAATTTTTGGCCCACCCTGTACATGTACATCTCAACATGCCCAAGTTTCCCCGGATAAGAAATACTCGCTCGTGATTAATCAATGTAGAGCGGGCCATTTCATTGTCCAGAGCGGTGAATTGCTGCAATAATAAATTCGAGTTCACCTGTCGAATTCTATCCGCGATCCTTGACGAGCGATTTCCCATATCTGATCGAGACCGCCGGCGTTCACGGCTGCTGTGGCGATCACCAGGATCACAGCTATCAGCATTAACAGGCCTTGAAACATGTCGGTGACGAGGACCGCCTTGATGCCGCCGATCGTCGAATAAAACGTGCAGATTAATCCCATGCCGATTACGCTCGCGGCTGTCGAGATGCCTGTGGTAGCTTCCAAAGCAAGCGCGGGCGCGTACAATACCACGCCGCTGTACAAAAGTAGTTGAAGTATAAAGGCAAAGCTTCCCGCCATCCTCGCCGCCTTGCCGAAACGTTTGTGCAGGTACTGCAGAAATTAAAGAAAGAAAATTATATTATTTGTCGTTGAGTCACGATGGATGACTGTAGTGCCTAATTTTAGCGTTATTGCATCGTTAAAATTCGCGGCATTTAATCTTACGGCTGCGTTCTCGCGTTCTCTCGTCGAATTGAAAATTCCAAAACTCCAAGGAGTTAATTCTGAATTGTTAATTAATGCACGGGATGGATGTGAATTCAATGAATTCTGCGTGCTTGTTACCTCGTTTGCGTCGTAGGAAATCTCTGCGTTCCGTGCATTCCGATTACAAGTGTTAATTTTTGTACGACGACGCATCGCTTGTTCGTTGCAAATCATATATGTTGCTTCGTGTAGAATACTGAGCTTCGTCTCGTGCGTGTGTTATTATAATTTTCTCATGTATTATTATAATATTATTATAATTCTAATAATATAATTTATTATATTATTTATCTAATAATTTAATAGTATTATAATTATAATAATATTATATATATAATATTATATAATTCTAATAATGATATTATATTATAATTATAATAATATATATAATATTATTATAATTATAATATTATAATATTAATATTATTATAATTATAATAATATTATATATATTATTATAATTCTTTATCTGTTACCTCAGATATACAGGGTGATTCACGTAACCTGCACACCTGGAATAACTTTTAAATTATACGTCTAATGAGAAATTGTTTAATACGAAAGTTGTATGATTTTAAGGGAGGCAAAATATAGCGTATCGATTAATTTTTTGTTTGTGTTGAAGGGTTTCGAATCATCCTGTATATCTATGTTTCCCTAGTCACATCTTTGAACAATGTACATGTTGTAACTATAGAGTCTATAGAGACTGACTAACTATACTCGCACAGCACATGGAAATTTGCGTGCAACAATGTTTCAACGACTCTGTTGATGTTTTCTGTTGCAACTTACCTCAAAAGCACTGGCATGTCCAAGCTTGAAAAACATCGGCATGTACAAATAAGCGACGAATGGGGTAGCAATTCCGTAAGAAATGTTGATCACTGCGTACTGGGTACCGTACACGTACGTTTCTGAACTTACTCCAAGCAAACTAACCGCAGATAGATACGAAACCATTAAACCAATTGCGACCGGTGCCACTCGCATCGATCTGTCCGCCATGAAGTACTCCTGTAAAGTGGTATTAAGAATTTTTGCCAAATTTTATAAAACTATGAATAGATCAGTAGGAAAAAATGTATGAGATGTTAAAGACAATCGTTTTCAACATTAGAACTGTCGGCAATTGAAACGTAAAATTTCTATCGAAAATGGGAAATTTTGTATAATACAACGAAGTACACAAGCTTTTATTTATATGTTTTAAAGATCATTTCAATTTCTAAAAATACACAAGTACACATCTGTAAATCCAAGGAAAATTACAGATTGGTCATTTTGGTAGTTCCATTCGTAGAAATAAGAATTTTAGAAAACAAGAAACATTTTGGCCATTTTGGCCATTTTGATAGTTTAATAGTATTAAATTCCATTCGTAGAAATAAGAACTTTCAGAATTCATTATTATTCGTAAAAATAAAAATTAAAGAGAAAAAAAATTTATAACAGTAAATAGTATAAAGTGTAGAAAATTTAAAATGGAAAATGAAAGATAAATTTTGGCCATTTTGATAGTTCTAGTGTTAAATTC